ATGTACTGCATCTACACTTACTTTGTGCGAACATTTAGTAAACCTAAAGTAAGAAAGCTGCCTTTGAAGGATGATGGCTCGGGTCAGGGCAATACATTACACACTGATCTCATGCGAAAAATAAGAAGTGCGATAGATGCTTCACAAGTCTGCTCTCAATATAAACATTAATCCGCAAGTCACTGTACATGCCTCATACCGCTTTGGAGCACAGGGTGGACATCGTCGGATACGACGGTCAACTACCAGATCAGGAAGTCAGCGGTCACACGTCGTATATGTTTCTCCGAATGTATCTGATAAGCTCAAGATTCGACAAGTAGTTGGACAGTGATTCAAGAAACACGATGGCTAGCCCCGACCAGGGAAGGGTGCTTTCAATTCCTTCGAGTCCCTTTATTCATAGAAGATGATTACCGCTCGTTAGTTACGTTATGGCATTTTCGATTGCATGGCGTGCAAATTGTTTGCGGAATTAACGTCTCCATCAGTTAATAAAACTTTACATGACGCTATCTTCCTGCCTGGCCTCAAGCTCATTAGAAATAATCGTTTAAGGAACTGGCTTGGACGTTATGTACCGGCGCAACCACTTAGTACACTCACAATTCCCAGGCAGCGGTCGCGTCGAAAGGATCTTTGGTGTGATTTTATTGGTTTTCTTTTGCGCACGATCATTGGCTCATATAGAGTATAAATGCGGGGATGGTAACTTCCGGTGTGCGAAATCGCTCCAAAATGTTCCTCCAACTTTTACTACAACTAACACTTTCTTATGACGCCTTAGGAGAAGGTAACGTTGTTTTAATACTTTTATTATCGTAATCTGGAGCCTTTTACCTAACCCCATAATTCAATATATGTAAAGCTTCGAAGTCCATGTGTCTTAATGTGTTCATAATCCCCCAAGGAGTACGAAGAAGTAGGGACAAGTTTATTAATCAAAATACTGGAAAACCTTACGGAGAAGCCATATCGCCGCAACTTCAACTGCACTAAAACGACACGCAGAAAGCCACCTTGAGACAGTTAATGCCGGAATTAAAGAACTCCAGCGGAACTTGTGTCAGAGATCAGGGGCTCTTGACT